AAAGATATTCCTGGCTTCTTGCTGTCCAGTCCAGCCAAGGGTCCCTCCCCACTGCCACAGGATGCTGCTCCAGCCAAACTCCCATGGTTCAGCTACAGTGAAGGGTGAGGGATTCATCTGGACATGCGAAACACTATATAATGCAGCCAGGAATATCTTTGAACTCTTGAGGTCAGCAGTTCAACACCGTGCTGTTACGCCCATCTCAGATATTTCATTCTTTTTCTAAGTCCTCGTCATGAGACAGACCAGTGGAGGCGCAGCTGGTTCATGATTTTGGGAGATTTCTTCTTGGGCGATTCACTGGAAAGCAACTTTAAAGGCTGCCACATCGCTGTGCTGGAAGAGGACTGTGAGGCATGAGGAACCTGGAAGAGGTTGTTTTGGCCATCTGGCTCCAAACCCCAGGCGGGATTGAAGGCAGGCTGGCATCCCCTCTGCGTGGAAGTGAGAGTATGAACAGAGCTTGCAAGAGCAGCAGTCTGAGTCACCCCCACACGCACCCCTTCAAAACCAGTTTCTTCAAGCAAACACCACTCTGGGAAAAGAGCTGGTTGCGATAACCAGAGGGTTTGGGTGCTGGAGGCAGTTGGCCTTCATCTTCCTCACTATGTGCACAAAATGGATTGCTATCTTCCATCCACTATGTACACCTGGCTTTGTTGGCTGCTACCGGCACAGCAGCTTTTAAGGATAGTCTCATCTTTGTTCACCTAGGAGAAAGTAATTGGTCAAATGTAATTCAACAAGAGATCAATTAGAAAAGGTTGTGATAGACAATTAGGTCACCAGCAACTCCTATAAATTGCGGGTAGAATTTCTTCCTTTGCCATATACCAGTTTGATGTAGGAAATGGCTCATTTGCAAGGTAAAGGTTTAATTAGGAGAAAAAAAAGGTCAGCAGAGATCAGATGTGAATTGCCAAGTGTTAAAGAAGTTTACTGCAGTGATGTATTTATTGAGAGCCATGCTATAGATCTGCTCCCTCTCTGCCCAGAATGCTAATAGCACCCCTTTGAATTCTTCCTATTGACAGAAAAATCATCAATAATACGTGGGATGCTTTAAAACTGCTTGGCACCCACTTTGGTTTTATGATAATCAAAGGGCTTTGCTAAGACCCAGAGACTCCCTTACCCATCTCATTAATTGTGGATCCTTGTTTCCAGGTCAGGTTTCCAGAATGTGACACCCTTCGGGTCGCTGTTTCCTCTACCATCCATCGCAACATGAGCTGTGCAGAGGGTATTTATTGCTCCTCCTCATCAAGAACATAGTCACGATGTAAATTGTGCCAGAAATACCAGTATGATGAAAATTCATGGTGTTTCCTCCTCACCTCACTGTATTCTGGATGGTTTTTATGGGTGTGCAAACTGCAGAAATAGAGAGTTTTGTACAAGCTCTCTTAAAAGCAATGGGAGCAATAGCAACATGATTAGATGAGGGTTTAGCTCGTCGGCAAGAGTGCTGAGCTGGCCCAAGGCAGTAGAGCCTAAAGTCAAGCCATGCCATTGATCTCAGCTCCCACCGGCAGTGCTTGTTTCAATGACCTTTGGGGAGAGGGGGAGAGGGATCCAGGGGAGGCTCAGCAGCGTTTCAGGTGCTACCGGCTCTGTGGGCAGCAGGAGGAGCAGCCGCCCAGCGTGTTGCTTCAGACAGCGGGATGTAGCAGACCGATAATATGCTCTGACACTCTGCTGCTCCTGCAGACAAGATGGGAAGCATCATCACTTCATCTATGCCTCCAGGAGCTCCATGAAGGCTCCCTCCCGCTGCCCCCTGTTCCCTGCATCTCCAGGGGGTTCCCACTGGTGGGGATTGGCATCGGTGCGGCAGGGCTGTGACTGCCCTTCGCTGGGACCTCGCCAACGGGCGCAGATGCAGCTTCCAGCCCGATCTGCGCTGCAGCTGGGGCCAGGAAGTGTTCAAGGAGGGCTGCTTCTCGGCCAGAATCACGGGGGGTCCGGGCATCCTGAACTGTCACCAAGAACATCATGGTTTGGGGCTTCATTAGGTGTCATACATAACTAATGACTCGGCAATAGCGTATGGCAGGATGAACGCCGCAAAAGTCCAGAGACAGCCACCAAGGTGGACAGAAATCAAAATGGCAGCTGGACCTGGCTGGGAGAACAAGAGCAATTTTTCCAGTCATTTCCATTTGTTCCAGTATCACTCAGCCCCACACCCAGTTTGATGAGAGATTGCAATTTCGCTTTAAGCAACACTATATGAAAAAGGACAGATAGCAGCTCAGATTGTAAACTGATGTAATTAAACAGGCAACATTAATTCCCAGCACCTGAGACTCAAGTCCTCCGCGCAGTGTCGATAACACTAATTTCAATAATTTCGGCAAAGCAAACCGTATGAACAATAGGCGGAGGACGGAGGAGGCTCTTCACTCTTCTGGAGGATCAGAAACTCGCAGCAATTATCAGTCAACAGTTCCAGCTGCCTGGTAAAACTGTTAAGACTAAAGTAAACACATCACGGCTCTGAGGCTGGAAACAGAAGAGCTGTAATTATTTTGAAGTTTAACCATTGCCCCCGTCTCCAGATACAGGGAGCGAAACGACGCAGACCCCGACACATCCAGCTTCCGACAAAGACGCGTGCTGCTCCTCGTGCAGAAATTCAAGTGTGCTTCTAGGACGCTTAAGATTCAGGTGCGACGCGTATAAAGCATTAACCATTTCCTCCTGGCAGCAGACAAAAGCCGCGTTACCTTGGGCAAGCCAGGTTCCTATTAAAAAATCGGCTCTTACAAGCCTTGTAAGAGGAGCAAGAGATCTCCTTGTCTTTGCTGGGGCACGGGGAGGGGGGGGGGAATTCAGCTGTTCTGACAACCAGATCATGTTTGATATCATCTGAGCTGACTCGATAGAGATGTCAAATGGGAGAAGATAGCAGAAGTCTGCCTCGCAGTTTAATTGGCTTACACTGTTGTATATCCTGGTTTAAAAGCAAGGCCTTCAAAACGCGATTTGGACAAGTGAGTTGTGTGGGGCTTTATCCTGGCCGGGCTCACAGCCTTCTCAGCGACAAAACCAGCGCATCTCTGAACACGGGCTGTATATATGGTTGGATTTATGGAGTATTCATTATTTTAATAGCACTTATTGACTTAGGGTCAAATATCTTTTTCCAACATTTTTTTATTTAAGGAAAGAGCCCGTATGTCACAATCTCATGCCTCATCTAATTGGATAAGTGTTTCCTTTGTCCTTGAAACCGAAAAGTAGACCGCGTCTCCAGGAGCTACAGAATGAAAAAGCATCTGCCTTTGGTATTTGGCATGCCTCAATTAAAAAACCCGCTGCCTGGGCTATAATTTTTTTTGAATTCTGACCAGAGCACTTCTGCTCAGATTCAAGCGGACAGTTCTGAAGGTCGAGCTAGGGGTACGTAAAAAGCCAAATCCTTTGGAACAATATATAGAACATTAATGTTTTACACACAACAGAAAAGAGGCCCGGATCCAGCAAATCCAAGTTCAGAGTCATGCTGGAAGCACGGCAACGGCTCGCGCGCTCGCTCCCCTCTGAGCGGTTCTGTAAGCTCCTGCTGGAGTGGAGCTCAGGTCCGCTCTCAAAACATGATTCCCCTCCCTCCCAGTCCCACAAATCTAGTGCTCAATATGCACAAAACACTTCCATCTTTAAAAAATAATTGAAAAGGTGCACCCTGAAGTTCACTGGATCAATCCCTCTGAATTATTTTATTTAGAAGACACTTCATTGTGTCAAAGATTTAATGGAGAGGTTACAATGCCCAGCCTTCAGAATGTCAATGCATTAAAACAGAGCGTGGCAGGGAATGTTAAAATCCCCCGTAATGCACGCCCAAGCAAAACTGCCACATTTATGAAATATGAAAATTATTATACAGAGTTTAGATAAGACATAGGCTGCTGGGGAAAAGCAGTATAGGGGCCAGAATCCTTCTGCGTGTGTCTTACATGTAGTGGGATGAAATTTAGCAGCCTCACTATGGACTCTTTCGCCTTTCCCTGACATCCCTTCCAGTGCTCGCTTCTCAAGCTGTGTCTTTTGAAACGTGTGTATTTTTAAGTGAGCAGTATTTCCTGGCACACTTGATTAAATACCTTCCCTTGTTATTTATTGCCCATTAAACAACATATCTTCTGCATGTACCTTCATTGGACAAAAGATCTTTGCTATCAAATGCAGACCTCAGCATGTCTTAGGCCAGAGCAGTTTACTGCAACGATCTCTACGTGGGGCTGCCTCTGAGCAGTGCTGGGAAAACTCCGGCAGCACAGATCAGGGTTCTCTGCTTATTAAGCGGCATTTCTGGTAGCTGAGAATTACCCTACTTTATTACATTTTACATGTCTTGGTGCATGTGATAAGGTTATAATACAGATGATGTCCAAAGGTTTTTCTCTCTCTCTCCTTGGGGAATCTCGCTCTTCGGGTGCTGCAGGAACAATTGCGATCCACCAAAGTACTGCTAGGCTGTAAAGTTTCAAGTGAAACGGAAGGGCGGGGGAAGGAATGACAAGTCCTTTTTACTGAAATTCTCTCCCCAAATGGATTTGGCAGAGCCCGGCTCTGCTGATCTTAAAGCAAGGTTTATCATTTGTGCAGGCTGCTGCCTGAAGGGGGAAAAGATCTTTGAAGTTGCTGAATGATGGAAGGGTCTCCCCCCTCCTCTCCCTCACACACATTTTTTTAAGGGTGGAGACTGGGAGATGCTCAACTGCCCTGAGTCAGGAAATTACATGACAAATTAAACAATTATGTGTTTTAGCGCTGAGCATCTATTTCGACATTTAGCGTCAAACATGCATTTAGCATGAATTCCACAGGCATTTATGCTTTTCCCCATCACCTGTAATTCTACACTGCGTTATTTTACTGCACGTCAAGAGCTCCCCCGGTCCAGCATCTGCACCTTGAAGAGATTTCTTTATCATTTAACTTTATTACAGAAGGCACTGCCTGGACTCTGTTGGAGTGACAAGGACTATTTCCTTAATTACTGTACATTGATAATAGCATTTACTCTGGCAGCTCCAGTGCTATTCAATCAAGCAAGATTCAATACAAAAAAGCTGATTTGCCAAAAAAGAGATTAGCATAAGTGCCTACAGTCACATTCTATTTTTGAAGGTAAAGCTACTGTGTCTGTGAGCTTTCTTGTGGGAACTTTATAAAGAGAGATTAATCTAGTTTATCTCCTTGAAAAGATATTTGGGGAAATCACAGAAAGTCACTGTTTAGGCTCTTTTGGTAATAATTTTCTATAAACATGTAAAATAAAGAACTGCATAGGAAGTGCTAATCAGCAGCAGGAAGGTATATTTTTTCTCTTACATGGATGCAGATATTTGTTGTGGAAAACTATGTTCCCCAGTTTGCTATTGCTGTTCTTTGTCATTTAATCAAGCGGTGACTGTAGCTGTTGCACTTTAAAATTAAATGCTATTATTTATGGTAGAACTTGTTCTAGTTAAAAATGCAGACCTCAGCACTGTGTACGTTTGTAAGCAGAAGGTTAAGCAGGACATTTTAAATGGTAAAGCAAAGGGCTTAATCAAGGCTGAAGAGCAAAATGCAGTGGGATAACAGATATAGTAAATAGGCATTAATCACCATACAGGCTTAATCCAGGTATTAGGCAGTCTTGGGGCTAATACGAAGACTCACTTACGTAAGGACTCGTTCTACCAACCCTTAAGTAAGTGAGTAACTTTATTCTTGGGAGAAATTTCACCAATAATAAAGGCCCTTGCAATATGAGGCCTACATTATGTCTCTGTAAAATGATCATCACACAATTACTTTGCCTGAAGGGGATTGCTGAGTTAGGAGGCGCGTGGGGGTGTGGTTCAAGAAAGGAAGAAATTGAATCGCCAGAGCACAAGGAGCCACTTTTTTGTGTTTTTTTTTTCCCCTTGACACTGTCTATTACTGTGACATCAAAATCCGAGCTAAGTACTTCTTGCCAAAGATGGACCAGATAAAATCACGAAGCTAGTATCATCTCATGGGAGACAGCTCACTGTCTTAGTGACAAATTTAGTGACCACAAATCCAGGCTTAGAACATAGTCCTTCCCTAGTCATAATCCAGCACTTGCACACTGGATTTGCATTTAACTAACGACAAACTAAAATTTCAGTTTCAAGAAGACCAGAGCACATCCATCGGTATGAAATTCACTATACAAAAGTTCTTTTATTAGATGCTTAGAAAGAGTAAAGTGCTTCCATGTTTAACTTACTATCAAAAATTCCAAATCTTTGTACACACAAACATGTCACATGTGCTGACACACCAGCACACAAACCCCAGCCTCTGGCCAGGGTGGGTTTTGGCATCCTGGTCAAGCTTGCCTTACCTAGCCATGAAACAGAACAGGCAGACTCATGGTAAGCGCGGTACAACCCAACCTGAGCAAAGGGGAAGGAGATGGAAGCGGGAAATGGGGTAGATGGCCACAGTTTATCTACTCAAGGAATAGCAAGATGAAAAAAAAAAATCCACAAACCTTTAATTGTGAATGTAGGAGAGGGACAGTGATGTAACTGTTCCCAGGGAACACTATTCTTATTTTGTAGAGGGAGGTGAGCCAAGATACTTAAGCTCTAGAGAACCTTTAACACAGGAAGCTATTTATCATAACAAGCTTGGTTGATACTGCTCCCATACTGAACCAATTAGATTAGCCTATTTCGTCATACTTCATAACTTGGGATGATAGGTTTCCAAGCATGGTACAGTGCAGTAATTGAATTTTGATCAAACACACATGGCCCATAACCCAGTATGTGAAACTTTCAGAACAGTTCACAGCTTTTAAATATCCAGTCAACATGTTGCCAAAAGTACAGGATGTACTTGATGCAAGTGGGAGAGGAGGGGGGGAGCACGAGTCCACGCCGTAACTTGGTACAGCTGTAAAACAAACATTTTTTTGTTCCGATTCTGTTCCTACTTTAGCAAAGGAGCTGGGAGGAAGACAGTGAATGTCAAGTAAGTCGTTTTTCTCCCCAACCCCCACACCCCCCAGGCACACATTTCCCTTTTAACATTCTTAGATTACCACAACCTTTTAAATTCACTACGCTGTACCTTCATACTGTATTAGACACACTAGCAATTATGTTTGTTAGCATGACACATCCATTGCTTACACTTAGTTAACAAAATAACTTAAAAGTTGCATGCATCATCCTCTTAATAGGGTTATAATCAATGGGACCATGGAATGAAAGCCCTAAAAATTACCCCCCACCTCTGCATTCCCCAGGCTTCTGCCTCTGCCAACACAATCCATATGGTGGGCAGTCTCATCAGACTCAAGGTGAACGCTCAGTCAGTTCTTGGTAGGCAGTGATCTCCTCTTACATGTTCTTGCTATGTTTTCCCCACAGTAAATCCAAGGAACTTTGAAGAAGACTCTGTGTAAAGGAAACAGAATACATTAATAAATTCATTCCTATGACTCTACTGACTAGGGGGCAAAACACCCACCGCAGAACAGGTTCAGGACATAGAAAATGCTGTGCCAGACTTTCTTTTGAGCAAGTAATGGCTATCCATATCAAAGCTGCTCTCTGGCCTACTGCTAAGAGTTTGGCATGCTTAAGCAATGGAGCAGGATATCACCAACCTCTACATATGGTGCTTCCAACTTCTTTCTCAGCTTTGAATGCTTTGACCTGAAAGGCAGATGGAGGCAGGTCCAGGCACCTCAGCTACCCAAAGGGGAAGCACCAGGGCAGCCAACACCTTCATTTTCATCAAGGTAGTGCAAATGACATTAAAGATGGGAATTACTGCTACAGCCCTCCAAAGAGTGTAGGATCTGACATTTTACCCAAGCGCTGCTAGTTGCACTCTGTGGATTGTCTGCCTCTGAGCTGTCTCACACACCTGTTCTGGAATACAGCTGTGTGAGAGAAGCAGCCACAGGTTCCAAGGGGAGAAACGGTGCTTTTCAAATGTAACAAAAAGTACATCTCGTTTAGTCTTGCTGTTGGTTGGGGACAGGTATATTGCCCAATTACAGCCACCACCCTGTCAGAGACAAAGTGCAGAGGATGCACTGGATCCATCTCCCTCCCCGTCCCACTCCCCATGAAGTTATGATGCTGCAGAGAAACAAAAAAAAAAAAAAAAAAGAAGAAAAAGAATTTGGTGTTCAACTTATCAGACTTGGACCAAGCCTCAGCTCAAACCAAGGTTAAACAGGCATGTTCTAAGCCTCTTAAAGATAGGATTTATATAGTAATTACAGTAATGGAAACTGATCTTTATAATTTTCACACTGCCTAAAATTCTGCTGTGTCATATGCATCTGCAGAGCCTGAGAACTGTGCTTCTCAGAGAGAGCACTGCAGTCTTGAAAGCAGCCATTCAAATACATAATGGAGAATTATCGGAGCATGAGTATGTTTGAATATAATGAAACACGACGAGTAAGAATCAGAAATCCTGAGTTTGTATTTGAGACAATTTTTTCAACACTTTCTTTTGTTGGGAGTTTATGGAACTAGATCTTCATCACACACAGTGCAAACAGCATTGAGATTGCCCTTATATTTCCTTTCTTTTCCTTTGCTACAGTCTTAGGTCTAGAGAGTGAGCATAGTGAAAAATTCATCTTGGCCAGACAGAATCCTCACATCCACTTTCCAGTTTTCTCTGTCGTGCAAGGAAGAATACTGGAGCGCTAAGTCTTTGCTGTATGATAAAGAACAACTTCAGAAGATTAGGAGATCTGATAGGGGATTTGGCTCCACCTTCAGGAAGCAGAAGGCAAAGAGACAACACGGGCTTAAATTTCAGCCGTACTTTCTGGAGGAACTGAAGCCTCCAACCCCCTCTTACTGACATCTACTGCTCCCCAGTGTGTCTTTGCTTTATACATATAAAAGCTTCCCTGATCCGATGCCGTGACATTTCTACATACTTGATTCACCTCTGAAGAGTCCAACTCCTCCTAGAGGTACTTCAGAACTTGTGGCAGGATGTCCAAAGGGAGCTGACATGAACAAACAGAGCTGATACATGAACAAAAATAAACAAAAAGCAGCTTTAAGGTGAAAAAAAGAAGTTGCAACACATAGGATGTCATAGAGCTGTATCAAATATTATCAGCCATTTACACTGTCAGTGCTAGAGTTTCCATATAGAATGCAATTTTCTTATAATTCACAGAGATTAGAAAGGTTCTCTGGGTAACACAGATGGATTGAGAGGAAGAAAGTGGGAAGAGTCTTGATCAAATTTCAGTCTAGCAGAACACTTAAGCATATGCCTAAAGTTAAGCTATTTTTTTCTCCTCCGATCCAGGCAGAAGATGCAAACAGAATAATCTCTTGTATTTCACCTCTTGGCAGACTCTGATGCAGGCTGAACCCAGAACAGTAGCTGGTTAAAAAGCATGATTTAAATGAATTAGAATGATGCATTTCTTAAAGAAGCCCTATAGTGACCATTTATAATAATTAAAATGGCAAAGTAGTTAGGGATGAGACGACACTGAGTTTGAAAGACTGTATGATGTATTAGGCCATCACACAATTAGTGACAGTCCTATGAGGCAATGGAAATGTATGGATGCTTGCAAAACCTTGCCTTTGGCATTTCCCCAACTGGGTGCTTAAGCACCCAACCTTATTGTATTCAACATCATTTTCTGGAGGAAACAGGTTTGAAAACTGCAGAGCAAGCAACAGGAATGGCTCTCGGTGCAGAAATGGACTAAACACCTAATGAATCTAAAAATTAAAAAAAAAAACCAAAACACTAAGAAGAGATGCGAGAAGACTGAATAGACATAGCTGTGTAAGCAAATATAACTGAGTATACTCTTGAGGAACAAAGGAAACAATTCTTGATGGGGTGACAACAGATGTTCTCCAAAAAAATTCTAACAGAGCATTTCAAACACAAAGACCTTCCTGTGGAGCTGAGAAGTTTTACTGGCAGACGTACAGCAATACATCTTTGGAAACATAATAAAACCTAACATTTAAGGTGTTATCAGGTCCTGAAAGCAGAAGTGATATCTTCATGTAGTAAGTGGGTGGTGGTGGTGGTGGAGAGGGAAACAGGATAACAAAATACTGTCACAGGAAGTTGCCATAGCATAGTTGTGATTTAAATTGCAGGAGGAATAAGTAATCAGAGAGTTTGTTCTAAAATATCTCTAAATCTGCTCGTTTGGAAAACAAGCTTTCAACACAAGTGAAAGATGCAAAGGTTAACCTAACTGAACAAATACAATCCAGAGTAATTAATTAATACAGTAAGCACACATAAGTACAACCACTTTTGCACTGTGTGAGCGAATGCAAAGTGCCCAAAGCTGAATGTTTCTACCAGCTAATGCTCTTTCAGATCATGGTTAAGCACATTGCAGAAAATCCTAAAATGGACATAAAAAAAGGAAAAAAAAAGGACAGGTTTATGGAGTCATTTTTGCAATGACTGAACTGCACTGGTACTTAGGGAAGATTTGGATTTAACTCCTGGCATGGATCTGCAGCATCTTCAGCAAATAGCTTTATACAGGTTTTTAAAGGTGAGGCACTGCAAATTCTTTTTTTAAACTCCGGCCTTTACTTTTTATGTTCTTTATTTTTACAGACACAGAATAATACTTTTCTCCCTTGTTGGAATATTGAAAGAATTCCTGAATATCTGCAAGGCCAGCAGATATTGTTTTATCTGGGAATGAGGCAGGAGGATGACATAGTACATTGCCTAATTATTTTTATTGCTTTGCAACTGTTTTGGGGAAAACAGTCCAGAGAGAAGATTATTCCAGTGCAGTCAGAGCAATCAGAACTACAGAAACACTAGGATGAACAAGTTGATTGACAGGAGAAAGCTAAAGCAGGCAGCAACACAACAGAAAATCATCATAGGACAGACATTTTGATAAATATTACTGTAGCCAATTTATTATTAACACAGTGGGACAGCTTTACATCTTGCATCACACTTTTCACAGCCCTTATGGTAAACATGCCATATCTGACAATTACAAGATGAAAACAAAGACCTCACTAACTCTCTACTGGCCCTGCAGTACTATCTGCTCACTCAGTTAACCCTCTCTAAACTTCAGCTAGGCAAGTAAACAAGCATGCAGATACGCAGACATGTGTGTTCAGATATAGAATATAATTCCAACAGTATCCAATACCAACTTCAAAGGTTACACCATCTGTGCCACTAATTTCTAAAAGGCTTTACAGACAAAAGAGAGGGTTGTGAGATAAGTGGAAAGTTGCTGTACAAGATAGAGGATCAAGTGGAATATTGTCTAAAGGGAAAAGAAATGAAATTATGCTAAGGCTCTAAATATTGCTCTGTCTGGTCACCCACGGCTTCATTCTGACTGCTCTGACAAGGCAGTGCAGTCCTGACAAAAGCCTGCACTGGTATCACAAACCAGAGAGCATCAGGATGAAAGAATCCCATTGCAGTTTTTATTTCCTGGATTGGTTGACACACATCTTCTGTTCCTACAGAAACACTCTAACTTGGAATAACAAATCTTTCTCTCTGCTGGCTACTTGATTTCTGGGATTAACAAGCTATCTGATGGACCTCCTAACTAATCATATTTTCATCTGATTCACACAAAATAGCTCCCATATTCTTTTATGGATAATAAAGCACAAGATGGACTGCTGAAATCATTAAGTCAAGCCCTCTGCTACTTGTACATATGGAGATACATTTTAGAATGAAATCTTGTGTGATGAGTTGCCCAAGGCTATTTTTTTATTATAATGTCCATGGTATCTTCCTACTTTCACAGGTATATTGTCAGCTTCAGGGTTAAAAAACAAAAAGTGGACAAGTCAGAGGATGATCTTAGCCATGAGATTTTATTTGATTCAAACATTTATTTTCCATCCACTTCCTGTCTGTTTTTGAAAGTATTTCAGGAAACAAAGCTGACATGCACAAAGAGCATTCAGTGAGAGAGAGACAAAAGGGAGATGCAACAAATATCAGGCAAGCGAACGAAGCTAACAAGAGTGTTCTTGTCTCTTTGAACCCACAAGTAAAACGCATGTTAGCAAGTATTCCAAAACTACGTCTTTCTTGTGTGAAGGAAAGAATTAGTGTTAAGGACAAAATACTCCTTGTGGTTTATGCTCATTATGTGATATGTCAGGTTACACTGATTTGGAAAAAAACAGGATTTTGTTACAAAGCTTTCTGAGCACCAGTCTTAATGCACCAATTTCTTTTCAGAAAAAGAAGGTATGTATTTCACTACAGATGGTTGCAAGGAAGGAGAAAAAAAAAAAATCAAAATAGGCAGAATAATTATTTCCTATTCTAACCTCAGGGCACCCCAGCATCCACCCTCCTTTTTTGCGATATGTCATCTACAGTTCTATTTTTTATGCATCCATATTTCTACTGTTGATCAGCACTGACCAAAATTTGTCTTTAGGCTTTACAGAAATCATTATTTAAATTAATAGAATTTCATAGGATACACTGGCACAAGATTTAGGGCCACCTGGATTTTAACTAACAGGATGGGAAGAAAGGCAGTTTCTGTGGTTTGGGATATTTAAGTTCATTTACAAACCGCCACACTTGGGGTCTGTTGTCACAACTAAATGTAATCCTGGCCCATCCATGCTAAAACTCTCATCAATTTCAATGGACTAAAGATCAGCATAGTTGTTCTGAACAACTCTTTCTCTACCTCTCTATAACACTCTAAATTACACTTACAGACACAGAATGATTTCAGTGCAAACTGCGAAAGTCTGCACATTTCACAAATGGTACAACTTAGCAACAAACTATGTGCTTACAGAAATAGAGCAGTCAAAAAGAAACTTGGCGCCTTTGAGGTAAACTCACTCCCTTGAGGAATTTTCGTATTTTATCATCTTTGCTCGATGTACACTTAATATTCAGTCCTGATTAAGTGTAATTAATAAGTCATGAGCAATTTCAGTGGACAACTGGATCCATCTGTAAAAATAAAATGCACCTATGCATTTGTGACACTTACTGCCAGGGTTAAGGATAGGTCTGCATTTTCCTGAATGTTGCATTGGTAATTGTGAGCCGTGTAAGCCTTGCTCCATAGTAATCTATAATGTAACTAGAGCCATCGGAAGGTCCGACGATCTACAAGAGAAAAAGAACCAAGACTTTTCAATATGAAGTGAAATATACACTTTGTGCTAATGTCTCAATTACTGCTAATTTTCCCATCATAAAATTAGTCATGCTTAATTAGTCAAACAGAAACTAGATTTATTTTGAAGTTATGCTTTAGTTTAACTATTTTAGCGAGCACTGTCTCAGAAGAAACATTTCCCTAGGGCTTCTAATCAACCAAATTATGCATCCAGGCGCTGGTACTAGGTAAAGCCGATGAGGATTTGATTCACAAAATCAGGCTAACAAATGAGCGGGCTTCAAACCACTTTTCTTGAACAAAGGAGGGTAGGCAGGAGAGAATTAGGTTGATGACAAGCATCTTTGAAATACTGCACAGGTAAGGAATGGAGAGAAGGAGAGATCACGGCTTTTTTGTTCTGGAAATGCTAAATTGATATGGGGTCACCAGGGAGATAATAAGGAGAGATGAAAGATACTCTCAACTGTATCTGTAAGTGATGTGAGGCAAGATAACTGTTATAGCATAGAAAGGAACCTGAGAATGCATATACTTTAAAAGACGTATATACAAAGGTATATACTTTAAAAACATTTTTCTATAAACCTATATAAACAATTTCTATATCCACAATGCATTTTAGGTTCATCATAGGCAATTTGTAATTCATGCTAAATGGATGCACTGTAGAATAAGACAGTTTGGCAATTTCACAATGTCACAAGATGTCACCCCAGCTGGGGATTTAACCATCATGAATCCTACAGTCACAGCTCTCAGGTGATATGGGACTTGTATTTGGAGGAGAGCCAGAAAAAAAAAAAAGTGGCAATGTCTTCTCGCCTGCACACTGCATGGACACCCCATATGATAGGCTCCATCAGTATAAAGCACATGCAAACGCAGAACTTCAGGATTCTGGGAACAGCAGGATATCTCATGCAAAGCTGAACGCTCTGTGTCACATAAAGAGCTCATAGGTTCTGACAAAGTGAATTTATGGTGTTACAGTTCCCAAACTATTAATTATGAGTATTTATAGATAGCGAATCTAATTTTTAATTCAAACAACAAATATACTGGTATTTTGTATCCATATTCTACAACATCAGTCTACAAACAGAGCTAAAATAAGTGCCTTTATTTTTCAATACACAAAGGTTCTTAAGGCTAAAATGCTAACAAAGAATTAGCAATCAAATCAAAGCTTTAACAAACACAGATTTGTATCTTATTTTGAAAGCCCCGACTTACCTGCATTGAAATAAGTATGAAATCAATTAGGCTACCAATTCCACAAAATCCTACAGTGCAGAACTTTAACAAACCTAAAAAAGGAAAATAAAATTTAACTGAGGCTTTAAGCCAGTCAGTATGAAGTTCATAGGTCTCTGGTGGCAATCGCATCTCAACTCTCTCCCCATCCTGCAAAATACACACACACACATATCTAAAGTTAAGGATCTTTAATTATCAGGTAAAAAAAACAAAACACATTGCTACATCCTGAATACACTTTAAAGATTTTAAACATTAACAATTTATTTTTTTTAACAGATAAATACTCTTAAACAAGGAAAGGCAAAAGTTGGTAACCAAATTACTGGAAATTTTCCTTTCTTTGAAGCACAGACAGAAAAAAAAATCCCAATTTCAGCTGCAAAATTTACTTATGAATAGAAAGAGACTTTCTACCATCTCATGAGCTGCAGCACATACTGATTTGATTTTCAGAACATGCTACTTTGGAGAACAATCCTTTGTATCATTTTTGTATTTTTGCTGAAATAGGAATTTATTTTGAATAGATATAGACATATATATAAACACTTCTTTTAAACCGGTATTCAAAAATGTTATTTTTTGTATGAATAAATGAAAGATTAATAGAGGATATATAGGAATAGCAACTCAGAGATAAATGTTTCATTGGAAGTTGCCATGCAAGGCAGACTTCATTTGGAAAATGCCTTCAGAAGGAGGAGGCTGTCTTAATTTTTTTTTTTTAATATCTGCAGTTTCTTGTACAATGACTATAATACAATGAATATTATGCATATTGTAAATAATACTTCAGCTGAGCTAGGCAAACATCTTGGTTATTTTGAGAATGAGATACTCACGGTGAAGACATTTGTCTCTTTACCCAGGCATAGCCAGTACAAAAAGGAACGCGTATCTGTTGCATTTAAGTCAGTTGTAGGCTATACTGTGTTTAGTTCCCTGCTAAAAAGCATTTCCTTACTGCTGCTTACAGGGGCCAGCACACTTCTGAAGTAACAGAGAAAGCACGATGATAACGTCAGCCAGTGTGGCATCCCAGAGCAACTCTTCCCCACAGCCACAAGTTGTGCTGTGCTGCTAGTACCTGCTAGTAAAACCACGCAGCTGTTTTCCAAAGAACAAGCCTGCTCTTGGTTCAAACACCTGAAGGTCTCCTGACCTCTGCCTCCTCCTTAGCACTCCCCCTCTCTTAGAAGCAGCGATCTGTCTTGCATACCACATCCTTTCCCCCATGCCCTGTTTATGAGGCTGCATATAGAGGATTGCGGGAGAGTAACTGCATGCAAGCTGTAGGAATAGCATCCCACTGTCTGGATACAGCTCCCACAGTTGACAAGATGAAACTAGCCTGAGTTATAAACTCCAGGGAGACAGTTTATAATCTCTCCATGGAATAACAGTAGTCAGAGAGAACAGGGAAAATATACCTAATGACCACAAAGATGAAAGAGTAGTAGCAGGATGGACTTTCAGCTGATTACAAGAAAAGCCTATGTGCATATTACAACTGAAGTGATGACACTTAAATGTGCAAAAACCTAAGTATATCATTGTTTAAAACAACTTGTTCACAGTGAGACTTGCAGCAGCCAGACAGCCTGGGTATCAGTACAGGTAGTAGCATAACAAAACAGTCAGCTAAAGAAATACTACCCTTGGGAAACAACAGGCAAGATGATTAAATGTCAAATTCTGGTGAACAGTTTACTTTGTTATTACCTGCATCAAGTGCAGTCACCATTTAAGATACTTATTTGTGAGGCTCCTTATACCATCACCTCTCAAATTCTGGTCCTGAACCTCACCACCAGTTGGCATTTTAGGAACCCAGCAGTTTTTTTTACTGTTGCTGGTTCCAGCAGCAGCTCCAGTTTACTTGTGGAACTGGCTGCTCCATTACGTTACTGGATGTAGAAGAACTGTTTCTGAACCTGGCATACATTTCCAGAGTGCAGGGTAAAGTGGATTTTTTTTCTTCCTCCTCACTTCCCTCCCCACAAGCAGATCACACTGAGAAAATAAACTGCTCTAAAGCATGGAGGGAAAAAATAGTGCTCTTACGCATTAATAACTTATGGTTTAGTTCACAGTCGTGGGAGAGGAAAAAGATGCCCTCCTGATTTCTTCATATTCAATAGCTTGTTTGTACTTGTGCTCTTTTAAAGCAAAAGAGAAGGAAAAAAAATAAATGAAAGAGCATTTACAGTCTTCATTACGCTCGCACAAAATATTTCAATGCTATTACCTTTCTTTACCATTTTTTGCCAAGGCATGGATGACCTAAAAAAATCCCCAATCAACCACTGTCAAGGAATCAAATGTATTGGGTTTTATTATTTTTTTTTCTTTTCTACTCTTACCTATTTACTTTTGACTTCTTTGCCTTTCAAAAGCTTGGAAACCTCACTTTGGAAGAGTTTAATTTTAAGTCTTTTAACTTTGGTTACTGACTACGGTATATTTCAGTAGAGTTAACAAGCATGAGCTATAAAGAACTTCTCTACAAGAATAGAGGCTTTATAAATCCATGTTACTACAATATATTACAAAATAGTTACTGCAAATCAGTATTCCAAATCCAATGGTATAACAAAAAGGTGAGCCTTATTGACCACTTCCAAAAATCTCTTTGTGAAACAAACGGAAAAATTAAGTGCTAATTATAGAATCTCAGGGAAAAAAAGACACAGATGTTAACACAAGATTATTGAGAAGGACAGATAATGTTATTAAAGAAACAAGGGTTCACGTTTAATGGGCAGAAACTCAAAATTCCTAGCTGAAGTGACAGTAACACATATAGCTTTTTCCAATTCGTTGCTTTATGCTATCTAGACTTAAATGTACTCTATTTGTCCAGCTCAGAAACAAAGCCAGTGAAAGTAGTTCTAACATACTAAGGTATTTCCATCATTTAAAAGCCAGTGGCACCATCACCCTGGGAATCAGATCCTAAAATCACTAACCAGAGGTAGGTCTTATGAAAGGTTCCAGCTTATGCAGAACTGTTATTAATACTATGAGCTATCCTGAAAGTATGCATTTTCCAGAATAAATTGCGTATCTCAAAACTCTAGGTTCACTGTAAAGTTTGTCCACTATTTTCCTGGTAAAATCAAGCATCATTTAAGTAGCTGGCACATGAGTCAAAACCACTTCTGTTTCAGTGCCTCACAAAGAATGCTGTGGTAAGCATCAATGCAAAGCAAACGTAAAGCAAAACTATGAATAGCAATAATCATGTTTGCTTATTAGGATTTTATCTGTTGGACAACTATATAGCCATTTGTCACCACTCACTCCAACAGAATAGCAGGCTGAGGATAATGCAGGATTTTATCTTACTTGACAATAAAGTAAGGATTCTAGCTGTAAATATTAAAACTATGACTGTCAGCCTTCATTACTCAAAATATAAGTATATACACATACAACTCAGTCATAACAATAAGCTTTACCTCAAAGAAAAAACAAGAAATAAACTTACCTAATGCAGGATAGCCTAGATAAAATCTATCTGCTCCCAACCATCCGAGAAATAAGGACAAAGCCACTGCCACTTTGTAGGAGTATCCATTTCTGCCAAAAGAGACAAATAACACAGACAATGACTGCAAAATATATTCACTCATACTTTTGAGAATTAGTGACTCATTTGCCTGCTGCTTCAGTTTTAAAAAAAAACCCACACCAACAGACTTGTTATTTATCTTCAATTAACGGACACAGAATTGATAGTGTTAAGCTTTCAAACTGGATAGGCATCCTCCATAAAGCAACCTCAGCTGCTGCAACTCAAGTATACTCTTGCAGAACACAGATTATTCTGAAACTAAATCGTGATTTCTTGTAGAGACACAATTCAGTTGCTGATACACTCCCAGTTTTACAGAGCACTTCCGAACAGTTCAACCCTACTGAAGCAACCCTAGAAAGCCAAGAGGTGTATGCATACTGCCTGTAGGCATTAGTCTCACATGCAGCCAAATCGAGAGGAACAGGATAGACAGGTGAGATGTCAGCAGTAATTGCAATGAGATCTGAAGGACAAATAAACCATGGCCACTGGTTGAAGAAGCTGCACGAAGGATTCAACAGAAAGGGTAAGTCATGTATCCATTTAATACACTCTAAAGGCACAGACTCACAAATGAAAAGACCTGTTGATGGTACAAAGATGTACAGTGGTAGAAAGGTGCCCTAAAGTTAAGCATCCCATGGTCAGTCATATAAAATGACAGACTTTTTCGGACTTATACTAATTGGCACTATTCTTGCCAAAGCTGGAGTGATGTGGCCACATAACCACCTGTAACTTTCAGTCACTGCTCATGTGAACTTTACACTAATAAGCGAGCTGGAAACATATAGCTATCAATACTAGAGCTTGCTGCATCCTTTGCTGCATTGGCAAACAGCTAACTTGTGAAAAGAAAAGCAAACCCAAATGTAATTAGAACTTAAAAAATATTCAATAATTCACTGTTTTGATTCGTGCACTCCTATGTGCCGGCAATTACTTAATAAGCCCAAATTAAACTCTTGGTTGACAGTTGAATAAAACAGAGTTTCACAAAGACAGTAGCTAGGAAAGGTCCAAGCACCTTTATTAAGCACTTTCGATGCCAAATAAAATCTACCTTTTTACTTATTATCTAGATTTACTGACTTTAAAACTTAACGGCAACATTAAGTGATTAAATCATGACTCTTACCTCAATATTTGTTAC